CTTTCTAAGAAGACTTGAAGAGATAGTGCTGTATCCCATGCTTGGCTACCAAAACTCTGTACAAGTAACATGTTACATCATACGTATGCATTACTAGACATGACTTGAAAATATTTTATTACTAGTAAAGTTAATATTTGTGTATATTTCCTTATTTTTTTATTCTTATATTTGTAGAGAACTTGCTATTCAAGTTACGACTTTGTATAAATAAGCATAATGGCTAATCAATAGAAAACCAGAAAATCGTTATACAACTTTGGTGTCCTTATTGTTCCCACTAGGTGTGGATCGGAGTTTTACCTGAATTTTCAGACCATCCTCACCAATCCATACGTAACCAGGGACTCGAGCAAGATGTTTCTTATAATAATCACCGTCTGGATCTTCCACCCAACAAGCAAGCATATGAAATGGCTAAATAAGGAACATACAATTAATTACTGCACTTGGTATTAAGAAAATCGGTTTAGAATGTAAAAAACTGTTATTAAGAAAGAAACCTTTGACACAGCTCCACCAGTAATGTAGTGGGTTGCTTCATCATGGTAGTGAATGAGTTTCATCGCGGTCCGGAGAGCTCTTTGCCTTAGGAGCTAGTTGAAAGGCCAAAGGTTTAAGACGTACTCCGAAAACATATGAACACTTTTCCAAACCAAATCTTGTCCAAATGACAGTGGATAGCATAGATCTTCCTGCATGGATCATCATAATATTTTTTATTACACATATTTCTCCTCACTCGAGCCTTTGGCACCACATATTGATTTTAAGTTAACTAGAAAATGCATGTGTATACGATATGTGATTGAGTCTATAACTGACCTTTGCGCATCGATTACAAGCTTGGCTCTAATCAATTTTTGCATAAGACTGGGGATAAAGCTCTTCTCGGAGTTGTAGAATAAGAGGTGTTGTGGTAGCTACAAACTTTTTACCATACAAATAGGACAATGCCATGAAAATATCTCGTGTATAGATCCACAGAGTACCTGCATGCTTGTGCAAAAACATATATTTAGTAAACTAGAAAAATATTTGTAACTAAATCTCATCATACTATAAGGGAGTCCGAATTTATACCTCCATTAACAGGAGAATAAGAAGGAAGCAACCAGAACTCTGGCGGTACCGGTTTGCAGCCAGACCATTCATATACTCCCAAAACCTGATTAATTCCAAATTTCAGCTGATTAGATAGTTACTACTAGCTACTTAGCTAGGTGATTTTTTTACACAAAATGTAATGTACCGAAAGCCATGCTTTTCCAATCAATGGCGTGTAGGTAGCACCACCATGGTCGATTATCCATTTACGTGCCCTTGCACAAGGACTTTCTGAATCATCATGGTCTGCTTCTACCCCAAAGATTCGTAGACAAATGCAGTTGAGGACCGTGCAGAACATAAAACTGTGGCTTTCTGTGTGTAATCCCCAACCACCATCGTCGTTCTACACATACATATACATATAATTAATTCTTGACAAAAAAGAAAATAAAAGAAAAATAATTAATTCCTCACTGCATATTATTAGAAGACACTCTTCGATCATAATTAATGAGTCAAGTATGTGTATACCTGATGGTTGTACATGTAACGTAGCATCTCTTTCCGATGCTCCAGTGAGAAAATTTTATCCAAATGGCCAGTGATGTATAAGCATATTACCTGAGACGATTAGTATTTAGACCTCCATCATTTTTATTCTTTTTGTCAACAACCATTCATCTTTTTTTTTTAATATATTATAATCTGTAACATTTTGCATTCTTAATATATTATATTTTTAGTGTAGGAAAAATATGTGTACAATTTTTTTTTTTAACGTTTGTGCTTTTATTTAAAAGCATCATATCAAAAAACGGAAAGAGGACTTTAGTTTAGTGAAAACTAGCTTACGAAAGGGGCTTCAAAAAACAAAGAACCAGAGTTCTCAGCAGGCCAATGTCTATCATCAGCTTGCAACGCCGCGAAATAGAGTAAACCTCTCTTTAGTGCTGCCTTCGCATCTCCATACTTTATTTTTGACGCGTCATCTATCCACACTCGTGGAATCTTCTGCTCGAACTTCTTCTGCCTTAGAAACTGTTAAATCCCAGAGCATTTTAAAAGAAGTTTATAACTAACTGTCAAAGCAAAACTCAACAACTTCCGAGTTAACTAGTAGAAGCATATATCATCATGTTATGGTTAAAGCCTTAAAGGGTTTACCTGCATGCGCCAAAGGAGATCGGCACTAGTCTTGAAACGTGACTTATTGTTCGCGAAATTGTGGCGAGCCTCGTCCACTTCGGCGAGTTCCTCAGGAGAGCCTGCGTTGGCATCGTACTCCCACTCTTGCCTCCCGACGTAGTTGTTGGTGGTTGACAAGTAAGGATCATCTCCAGCTTCAACTCCGATCTTAAGCCTCCACATACTTAATCGATTCTCTTAAGCCATTACTATAGCTCCTCCTCGCTAGTTTATATAGAGTATAAGCACATGCCAAGGCTCGCATATTAATAATATTCATTTTGACTGGTATTTCTTTTTTTTGTCTTAATTCGTAAAAATAAGTATAGTCTGTATCGCGATTAAGTTACGCTTAAGTAATAAGTATACGTCTGCTTAAATTATAAAAAACTGGATTCTTTCAACTATTTGCTTAGGGAAGCGTAATAATAGTAGTATTATATGTGGAAGAACAATAATTTATTAGAGGTCCATCCAAGTTACCGTATTAATTAAGAAAATTTTATTTTACGAAACTGTAGTTAATGACACTATAGTTATTACCATTGGTTGATTGTTGTAAGTTGTTTCCACTAAAGAGTAGGCACGTGTTCCCTCACGAGATAGGCTTCCTCCAAAGTCGGAAGTGTCATGAAAAACTTTAGAATATTTTACTCAATCCGTCCCATTATATAAGATGTTTTGGCTGAATGCGCAAAAATTAAAAATAAAATCTTTTTTAACAAAATAATATTTATTAATTAGTTAAAAATATAATTCAACCAATCATATAAAATACTACATAGTTCAAAAGGTTAAAATAATCAAATGTAGAAACTAGTAAAATATCTTATATATTGGAACAAATAAAAAAACTTAAAATATCTTATATTTTGAGAGAAAGAATATCATTTTAGAATCATGACCGTTTTTCAAATTTTCATTTTTCACCTTAAGTTTGATCTAGGAGGTGATTGGCAAGGATTTTAAGTGCTGTAACTTTAAACTTCTCACAGCTTTTTTTTTTATTTTTTGTTCTACGTAATAGTATTTTTTTTTAAATCCACTGACTTTTATAATTTTTTAAAATCACAGCTATATAAGTCATAGCCTAAAAAGTAAACATATTTTTTTTACAGTAAAAATCAAGAATAAAAGTCCTTCTCTGTTTTTTTCTCCTAGTTTCTAGTGTTATACAAATCCCTAACACATAGACTAACCCAAAATTGAGACGAATAAATTCTTCACGTAGGATTTTGAAAATAGTACCATCTCCAAAAGTGGGGAAAAAATAGTATACATGCGTATTGTGTAAATATCTCGCATGAATTACGAAAGTCATAAATTGTAATTTAATTTTAAGATAACAAAAAGGAAAAATTATCGTAAAAACCTCCAACTAATTATTACCATTTCCCAACTAAACCTTCGATTTGTTGGTTGTCCAATTGAAACCTTCTAACTTATTTTTTTTTCTACAACAAACCTCCAAGTAACATAATACCTAGTATTGATTAACAGTTACTCAATCTCGATCTTCTGATTGGTCCATACTAATTGCAATTGGATTCGATTATGTCAGTCATCATTTGAGATTTTGAATTAATATCCCAACACTCTTCAATTCCATTAGTTATTTTTTTTTTGGTGATAAACTGTTGGAAATAGTTTTTATTCTAAAAATTCTCTATATATTAATCGATGAGACACCAGATGAAAAAAATTCTATGTATCACTCATTGAAGATTTTAAGAGAAATATCAATTAAATTAACCAATAAAAACATTCTAATTAATTCTATATGCTATGTTGAAAATCTCTACATATTTACATTAATTTTTT